AACAATATTCCATTGTGTAGATATACCACCTGTTATTTACCCATTCATCCTTTGCCGGACAGTTGGGCTGCTTTCATTTGGGATTTGTGATGGTTGACAGATGGTGTCCATCGGAATAAGAGAAGCTCAACTAAATTGGCTCAGCAATTCCATATCCTAGGGTGTGGAAGACCCACCCTCAGGCAGCTTGTCTTCTGGATAGCATAAAGGGGAAATGAAGAAGGATGAATCTGCTTGTGTTACTTCAGAGCAGCTCCAGTCTTTGCCTTTACCTTGGATGTTATCTCGTGGCTTCCAATGTAGACTCTTTCAGCCTTCAATTGTCCATCAGCCTCCTGGTACAGACTCACATAGGACACTGCTGTGAGCTCCAGACCTTCAACTGAATCTTTTGGTCCCCAGTGTGCAGACAGACCCTCTCTCTGCTCTCTTCTACATCTGACTTTGGGTAGTCATTGTAAGCCAATCTTGTAAAGTCTTATATATCTTTATATCTTGTATTATATCTGTTTCTCTAGTAAACACTGACTGATACAGTTATTATGAATATTTGTGGATGTTTTCTGGAGGCCCATGTTTTCATTTTGCTTAGTACAGATATAGAGGTGGAATTGCTGGCTCATATGATAGCACTCGGACTTTTTTTTTTTTTTTGTATCACCAGAACATTTTTGAGGAAATACCAACCTGGCTTCCCATGTATATCTGAATTAGGGCTCAACTGAGGGTTTCCCTCAGTGGTAAAGATTGGCCTAGCATACATAAGGCCCTGGGTTCAATCCCCAGAACCAGAGAAATGGGCAGAGAAAGCAACAACAAAAAGAAAAATCAGAATTTAAAATCTAAATTCAACATTCAAAATACACCTTCCCTCTTATAGGGAAGCAACCTTATAGGCACAGCAACCATGGGTTCATATTCATTATATAAATAGGATATTGTAATGTTATCCCTGCAGTTCAGGGGTGCAGCATCCTAGGACTTGGCTGGCCTAAGCTTAGAATGCAGTTTAGCATCTCATGTTCCATCTCATGTAGGAACAGCTTCCTTCCTGCCTAAATCTCTTCTTGCTATTGTCTTTGATAGGTGCACACCTTCCCTCTTCCCAAAAACTGACTGATATCTACAGGATCAACTTAAAGATCTAAATAGTTCTGGGGTTTTAAGTCCCCACCTCAACAGGGAGAAGAAAAGACCAGCTGGGATATCGTCAAGGCCAAAAGATCTCAGTGACCCTTTCTTATCTGACTGAGTCCCAGTACCCAAGGCTGGGCAAGACAGTTATGGATATGGGGCCAGGCAGCCTGCAGTGGGGAAGCCCACTGATGCATCCCCATCTTCGTGGATGAAGAAACCAGGGTTAAGTGGTAGAAACACTTGCCCAGTGCCTGCAGCAACAGAAGGCAAACTGAGTGGAAGAGAGACTAGGACACCATCCCTATGAAATCCATTCCTGGAAAATCCATTCCACACCATTCCATGGCCTTCAAACATAACAGCACCTGGGCCTGCTCAGCAGAGCCCATTGTCACTGCTATTTTGGAGGCAATCATATATTTTTAATGACCTGCAAAATCTCCCTGTGAGAAGGGAGGGAGAGTTGAAATTACAGCCAAGCAATTTGCATTGTGAATCAGGTTATCCTCCCTCCTGCCCTCTAAGACTATGCAGAAATAAATGCTTCCTAATGAACCCTGGGGGGCTAAGGCTTTGATATGAATTCGGCTGGAAGGATAAAGAGTTCTAAGCAGACTGAGACCCAGCATGAAGTTGGAGCAGGAGGGCCAGGCTGTCCCCTTCTGAGCAATGGAGAAAGGAAATTGGATTATCTTGCTAGCAGTTGGTATTTTTCTATCTCTTAAAACTGCAGATGAGAGCTCCTCTCCTTAAGATGGAGGGAAAGTGATTTAACCCTATTTAACCAGCCATCTCCTCAGCCCACTTCACTCTCTTCACTGTGGCCTGGATCACTAACCCCGCAGACCTAGCCAGACCCCCAGGCCACCGAGGGCAGAAGCTCCATGTCCTTTGTTTTTCCAGGACTTGAGAAGACCTAGTAAAGATGGACAGAGATAGATGATAGAAGATAGATAGACAGACAGACAGATAGATAGATAGATAGATAGACAGATAGATAGATAGCCTTGCTACCTGGAGTCAAGAAACTAGTTCTAGCTGCCACCAGGAAAATATCTGTCCTCCTCCTCTCCCTGAACCTCCTTGATAGCCTCCAGGGTCTGTTTATTCAACATAGGGAGGAGTTTGTGTGTGTGTGTTTGTGTGTGTGTGTGTGTGTGTGAGCACGCGAGTGCGTGTCTGTCTGTCTGTCAGTCTAACAAGTCTGTGCTTGTAGGTATGAGCCCTATGGAAACTCTCTTATAAGCCAATTAGCTGGTAGAGTGCACAGTGGAGATGTGAGGGCATGTGGATACATTATTTGTGTGGGCTTGAGAGTGTGGTAATAATGATTTGTGTGGGCTTGTAAAAGACAGGGGGTGGGGAGGCCTGTTCACTGCCTCCCCAAGGACAGGCATAAGTGCAGAACGGACAAAGAAAATCCATAGATAGTCCCCAGCTCCCGGTTGGCCAAGTCTCTAGCTGCCTTCTTGTCCTAACTTTTCCCCAGAACTGCAACCGCCTCGTCCTGATTGAGATTTTTCTTCCTTCCCTCTGGCCCTGCTTGAGAGGAGCCTGGAAGCCCCACAAAGCACTTGGAAGGAAATGAGCCCTTACATGACGAGGCAGGGTCCCTCCAGGTTGAGCATGTGGATGCCTCCATCACACAGCCTGACTCCAAAGCCAACTTCCACTGGTCAAAACGAGCAGAACAGACTCTTCTGCTATATCCTCAGCTGTTAAATAAGCGTTACAAAGGACCAATTCCACTGAGTGGTGGTAAACATTATTATGTGCTAATAATTCTAAGTTTTTCTTGGGATGAATGGTTTCATAACTGCTCAGCACTCTAGAATTTTGTTGTTGTGACCAACATTAGGATAAGATCATGTATCCTTCTTAGGTCATCCTGAGAGACAGTAAGCAAAGGCCTGTGGGTCAGAGCCCTACCCAAGAGAGTAATTATCCACGGTAGAAGTAAACTCTCTGCTGATAAGGATGTTTTCAGGCGTGCTCTGTTGGTGAGGGCACAATGAGCAAGTGTGTTGGGAACTTATCTACAGCCAGATGCCCCTGGGAGAAGAGAGGGAGAGAAAGAGAAAGGAGAAACTATTATGGACTTTTTTAAAAAACCATGTGAGTCATCGCATTAAGTCGAATGTAATTGGGAACTGATTGGATCTTAATGTAAATGAATCAAATATAAAATGACATTTATGGGACAATCAGGAAAATAGAACACTGAGTGGATATCAGATAATATTAAGGAATTACTGTTAACATTTTTAGAAGTGATAATGATATTGTGGTTATGCTAAAAGCCTAGACAGTCTCTAATCTCTTATGAAATATATTGAAATATCCGTGGGTAACAAGATAGGATTGGATTGAGGTCAGGGAGGGGACAGTTTGGGAAGCAGGTTTTATTATATTGTTTCCTCTAAGTGTATGTGTTGGGCTATTTCTATAATTAAAATACTAAAGAGAAAAAAAGAGAAGATCCCTGTGGAGCTGCCCCATGGAGGTTGGCTTGTGCCCACCACCACATCACCAGGACAGGATGCTTCATGGAGGCCCTTGGATCCAGGGGAAGGACTACAGCCGAGCGGTGCTCTCTAAGCCCCATAAATCAACAAGTACAGCTGAAGCCATTTAGTAGGAGGCTTGTTAATCAGAAAAATCTGGCTTAAATGGGTCATTTTATGGGCAAGAGGGAGCAGAAGATGATGAACAGGCCCCCTGGCAAGGAGGAGCTTTATAACTAGTGCCAAGTTCTCTCTGAAAGGCCAGAGTTGGGTTGTGCTGATTCTACGTCCACCTCAAGCCTTTTCCAGGAGGATGGGGACCCAAAGTAAGAGCAACAGGAGTGGGCACTGGGCCCAGAAAGCAGAAGGAGCACTCCGTTGAGTTATCTACCCACCCTGGATGTGTGATTCCTGGGGTGAGGGCGTCTTGGATTCTAGGCATCCTGGATACAAGATGAAGTATGGAGTCTCATGAATGACCCAGGGCAGAAGAATGAAGGAACACTAGAACTGAATAGAGAAGGAAGACCTCCTGGAGAGGTGAGACTTTGGCAGAAACTCAGTGGAAAAAGTGAGGCCCTGAAAAATTAATAACAGCCAAACCAAGGCGAGGACAATTGCGGCATAAATGCACTGGAAAGTGGTTTTTTCTTGTTTTTGTTTTTTATAATGGTTGTTTTAGAGGGTCATGTGACATAGCTTCCTCAGCCCAAAGGCTAAGAAGACCCAAGCATGAGTTTGGGTGATGACAGGCCAAGGCTCAGGGACCTGGAGGAGCCAGTTTAGTTTGGCAGTGACTGAGGACTACTGCAGGGGATCATGGGAAGAATTTGGAATCAAAGACCCACTTTTAAATTCCAGCTTTGCCTTTTCCTATTGGTAAAACACTGGGCGATCAATCCCTTCACCTTGCTGAGCCTCATTTTCCCTTCTGGCTAATAGGATGAACAGTCTCATAGGGTGGCTGTAGGGTGTTGCTTGTGCAGTAAAATCTACATAGAATTTGGTGACAAGGTGCTTCATAGCCACAGACATGTACCATGTCAACAAAAAGCCATGTGACTTCTGGCCAGTCCATCAATGCCTGAGTCTATTTCCCCCTCTGGAAAATGGGACAGGAATTCCAGGCTGACAGGAAGACGCAAAGAGAAAATGTAAGTCGTCAGCTTAGTGCAGTGTCTGGCCCGTGGTAGACATCCCACAAATAAATAATTGGTAATAATTAGTGTTCATGATGTAAAATACAAGAACATAAATGAAGTTTAAAATGATGCAGAGAAAAATACAGGGTCAGAAAAGGAAGTTCAGATCTTCTGTGACTTCTAGTCCAAGTGGTTCTTCCCTCATCTCAGCACTTACCCTTTACACTTTTTCTCTGTTTACTTGAAGCACAGGAACCTCCTCACTGTTGATTTGTTGCAGACTTTTTTTTTTTTTTTTACAGTGTTAGGGATTGAATTCAGGCCTTCATGCATGCCAGACAAGTGTTCTACCGCTGAGCTTAGAAATTGCTAAAATAAAGGCAAATGTTGTTATTGTTTTTAATCTTGTGTTTATGGGAGCTTCAGAAAAACTTCACATACACAGTGATTTATAGGCCAAGAATGTTATCCCTGACAGGAAAAAAAAAACAGTCCTGTTACATTATTAATACTCATGGGTATATATGGACCTTTAAACATGGGTGTGCAACAGTCATCATGGCCAGAGTTCGTACCTTGTGGTCTCAGAAGAGACAGTTATGACACTGCCCCTGCTGAATTAAGCTCATCCACTTCACCCACATTTGTTCTTGGCTCCTGCCCCACAGTAACACCCTCCCTCCCCTGGCTCTGGCCTCTGCCCTGGCTGTTCCCAACCCTCCCACAGAGCAGGAGGCCACCCCTGCCGGATCATGGGATGTTTTCCTTCCCGTCTGCCCCGTTGGCCCCCTTATGGTAGACGCCTGGGGTGTGAAACTGCACGCCCACAAAGGTGGCCTTCTGGTTTGGGAGGCCCCTTGAGGAAACCGACAGTCCCTCCATTTCCTGTGGATGAAGAATGGTGTGATTGCAACAAACCACCCCTACCTAATTCTCTTCCCAAGTCACACCCGCCCCAGTGTCCAAGAAAAATGAGCACGTGACTTCAAGCCAAGGCACACTGCGCCTCCAGAGTTTAAAAATAGGTGGTCGGGCCACCAGGGAGCTTGTCTGTCTCCTTCCAGTCCCACCCCCCACGCTCCCCAATCATTCCTTACCTTCTCTTTGGTGTGAGAGGTGGGCTGGAACCTCCCTTGAGCAGACAGAGTTCATTCTCCCCCACCTCTACTTGTGCTTACACACCAAAAACTTCACTTCTACTCTCTTCTCTGCCATGGCAGGCTGATTGAAAGTTCTTGGAGTTTAAGGAGTTTGTGTGACGACTCTGCCACTATCAGCTGAGCCCCAGGCAGACAGTCTGCCTTGTACTGAAATGGGATGGAACAGGCCAGGGCTATTGGGTGAACCCAGAGGCCATTCACATGAAGATGAGCTGCCACATGGCTCCTTCTATAAGCAACCACCACTACTGCTGAAATATTGCTACTCCTTTTACAACTACTAATGCTCCAAATGAAGAACAGGGGCTTTGGGACGACATCAAGAATGTGACTGTCCCTTTTTATTTTGGATCTACCAGCCCTCTCGGAAAAGAGTCAGGGATCCCTGGCTTGCTGCCTCTATTGGCTGTGTTCAAACAAGACTGAGATCTGCCTGTTTTCTGTTTAAACCAGGGCTTCTCCGAGGAATGTTCAGGAGTACAAAACCTGAAAAGAGACTGGTAAAGAAATGAATACCAAGATCTTGGGACCCAGAGTCTCCCAGCCTAAGTTTCAGTCTCAGCTACTGTGTGATCTTGGATAATTATTTACCTTCTCTGAGATCCTTTCCTCATTAACAAAAAATAAGTAAACACTAATAATAGCACTAATATCCAGTGGTTATGAGGGCTCAGAGCAAGGCAGCTAGGTCATTAGCACAGTGCCAGCCCCCACAGGGGCTCCAGAAAGAAAGCTGTCCAGTACCTGATGCCTATCGCAGTTGTCCCCCTCAACACATAAAGCAGGAATAGATGTACCCGCTGTCCTTAGCAAAGTAACTAGGTGATACTTTCGACCTCTGTCCACTGGTCCTGGATCCTAGAAAACATGGCTGAGACCAAAGTAATCAGTGATCAACATTTGAATCCCCCTTCTGGTTTCTAAAGCACAAACACCCATTCCAGAAGAGAAAGCTAAGTATCAGAGGCAGTGGCCCAAAGTCAAATCATTCACAAATGGCAAATCTAGGACTGGAGTTTGGTGTTCTTCTGCCCATTCTGAAGTCCCTGTTGCCCAGCAACCTGCTCAAACAGAGGCCAGCTACCTCCTTCTCCTGAAAAAATACCATCCCCCAGGGCCCAGGGATCTGTAGGGAATTGACTAATTTGTCTGGAATGATGTAGAAACAACTGTCAAAGCATTCCCATCCTGGGTGAAATATTTATATTTGGATGGGCTGCCTCCCAAAGACTCACTATAACAGGCACTGTCAAAGGACTAAATTAAGATCTTGGATGGCTTTATTTTTTTCTTCTGGGATTGGAAAACACTTTATTCCATAAGACAGAATAAGTGTTCTGATGAACCAAGCAGAGGAGGCTAGTTTTATGGACAGAAGCAGGCTGAAAAAAAAGAAGAAACAAGCAGATTGGTCATTCCAAAGTTACTTCCCTTGTAAGGCAGGGCCGGAAAGACGGAATAATAGGAAAATAGCTGCTTAGCTACAGTCAGGTTACTTCAGGTTACCCCTTTTGTGTAAGGCTTAAGGCAGAGGAAACTTCATGATCATGCCAGTAGAAAGCCGCCCCATTTGGGAAACTATTATCTCTGTAATCCTGATTTTTCAGAAAGTAACACAAACAGCTTAGTTTCAATTTTGTGACAAGGAACTTTAGTGTGAGTGACTATTTTGAAGCTTAGCCTGGTCTGTTGCACCCTAGTGCAGTAACTTAGTCTTCCTATGAGTTTATTTAGCAGAAACTTCAGATCTTGCACAATGAATCACAATAACTTAGTGGAAAATCATTTTTTTCTCCTGTCTACAAGATTTATCACATACACTGAGGCTATGACTACATAAAGTAATGGGCCAATATCACAGAACTGTAAAGTGCTCATCAATCTTTAAGGTGAGTATAGCCCAACAACTTGGGCACTTCTGAACTAGCTTGGCTCAGACCCTGGGGTCAAGGCTAAGGGGAGCCAGTTTATCCTTCTTGGTAGTGGTGAGCATCCATACCTTGCTTGCTTGTTTGTTTGTTTTCAGTGCTGGGGATTGAACCCAGAGCTTCGTACATAATGGGCAACCACTATAGCACTGAGCTGCACTCACAGACCTCCATCTTGTTTGATCTTAATGTCACCCTGTGAGATTGTATGAGGCACAGTGGACCCTTGACTTATGAACTCAATGCACAAGGACTGACTGTAACTCAAGTCAGTCAATTGAAGTTTCAGGCTCCTCTACATAGCCTTTAAAATCTCTCTCCTATAGAGGCAGATCTCAGTGTCCTTACAGAGACATTGGCAGGATTTCCCAGTTAACTCCACACAGGAAAGGATGTTGGAATATTCCTTCCGGAATTCTTTAAGGGTTAAATTTATTTTCAAGTTTTTTGTTTGTTTGTTTGTTTGTTGGTACCAAGAATTGAACTTGGAACTTTACCCTTGCCAGGCAGGCAAGGAACCACTGAGCTACATCCCCAGTCCCTAAGGGCTAAATCTGTATCTGTGACCATCTGGAAGTACAGGCGGACAGCATTCGGGTCATAACTCAAAACTTTGTTCGTAAGTTAAAAACTAAAATTGCATTGTAACATAAATTGTTCATCTGTCAAGCCAGTCGTAATTTTAGGGTACACTGTAGTTGCCTTCTTCCCTTGCACACAGGAGGACTCAAAAGGCTCCACTGAGACACACACAATCCCAGCAAGCGTGCAGTGATGTGAGACCACTCCCTTCTTTTCCAGCAGCGGCTCTTCTGCAGACTGTGCTTCCTGGTGAAGAACCCACAAGCTTCTCCTCCCAGAAGGCCAAGCAGTGGCCAGTCCTTGACTCTATGAATGGAAATTTGAATCATGGCAACTGGTAGACCCCAAAGAGACCACTCTGCATACCACCAGACTACATTCCAGTGTGGTCCATGGAACGTCACCATGATGAGTGATTGCAGTTATCCCAGGGGCGACTCCCTCCCCAAGCAGAAGCTATGTGATGTGCGCTGTGGCTCTCTTGGTACATGGAGGGGAAAGAGTTGACCAGGGCATGACCTAGTTATATTCTCTAAGATTGTGAAAGGTTAACTGTGAATGCCATTTCCCTGAGGACACAGCAAGATTATAGGTTAAAAACATAGCAGAAAGATTAGACATTAGAAGGAACTTTCTGACCATGAAAGTCATGAAAGCTCAAGTAAATTCATATGAGAAAGGAGAAAGCTCTGTCTTTGGAGATTTTTAGCAAGAAGCTTAGCTGCTAAGTAGAATAGCATGGAGATGAGACTTAAGGGTAGGATTAGAAGTCTAGATTCCCTTTGAGTGTCTCACAAAAGCTGCTAGAAGACACCATATAAACAAAAGTGTAACTAGGCTTATTTTTAATTGAATAATTATCACTTCCAATTTGGGATGATTTCAACAATGCTTCTTGTATGTCTATTTGGACTCTTGAGGGGAAATTTAAAATTTCCTGGTAATTTATAATTTTAACCACAGTTTTCCTGAGGCAGTAAGTTCATGTGAGAAAATAGTTCAAACTGAATCTTAAAATCATTTTTTCTATGGTATAATTTGCCAGCACACTGAACACACCTGTTATTATCTCATAAGCTCATAATTGCTGACTCCTCTAACCCTGACAGCCCCTAAACAGGTAGTTCTCCTTCAATGAATATATTGTTGCAATACCAGATCAAAATTCAGATGCCCTTGTATAACAGTTAGAGAAGTCTGTGTGTGCATGTGTGCATTTGGTTGTCCATCTGTATCTCAACACTAAAGATTGAACCCAGGGGCACTGTACCACTGAGATACATCCACACCCCTTTTTCTTTTTTATTTTGAGACAGGATCTTGCTAAATTGGCCAGGCTGGCCTTGAACTTGCAACCTCCTGCCTCAGACTTCCAAGTGGCTGGGATTATAGGTGTGTGCCAGCTCAGGTAGAGAAGTTCGAAAAAGAATTGAGCCCAAATTCAGGTGCTGATGCTTTCTCCTAGTTGGCTTGAAATGTGCTGTCTTTCATATACACACAGGTGAAGCTTCTGACTTGTTCTCAGGCATGAACTCCAGCCTTTCTGGCAAGGGATGGGTTGGGTGGGTCAAGGCACACTCCTTCCTGCTTTTCTTGTGTTGATAAGATGGCTCCCAGAGGGACAGTGGAGTGT